GAGTTTTGTGGCAACATAAAAAAAAAAAAAAGAATTTAGACCTTATCTTTGGATTGCACTTTAGCCACTGCGATGCAAATACTAGACACAAAAGTGCTATATGGTAAACTGGTTATTCTGGCCAATATTGCATCCACCTAGGTAATATATGGAGGAGTTACCGTTCAAAACCTAAGGTAACTAGCACTCTCGTTTGATGGAAAATGTGGATGAAGGTTGTAGAAAAGGAATGGGAGGAAAATTTTTAAAAATCTACCCTGTCAGTATCCCATTGCTCAAAATAATTTATGAAAACAGATTTTCTTCTAAATATTCTGAGATACACCAGTTTCAGAAAGCTCACACATATTTTATGTGGATGTTATGAAATCACATACATAGAAGGGGCAGAAAATCCATAACCCAGCGTGATCCACTTCTTTCCTATTTCTAAGGTGGCATTTCAAAGAGTGAACTCAAAGTAAAGCACACTTTCTTTCCTAGTCTTGTATTGGAGAGTTTGTGGGCACAGTTATACGAGGGACATGTGAAAACTGTCCTGCAGAGCAAAATAAGGCACATGGATGCAGGTGTGGACAGTGCAAACACTCTACTGCAATCACTTACTTGGGGGGAGAGATGTCAATCTGGTGGTAACAGTTTCTGTAATAACTGAAAAGAAATGAAAAAGAAAAGAAGAAAATAAAGTAAAAGCTCATAGGGCATAATGTATCAAGAAGCTGGTGTACCAATTCTACTGAGATAATTAGTACTATCACTGAACAGAGCCTCTTTTCCAAAATTGCCAAGCTGAAATTAGGAGAATAAATATATTGATTTGAAAATGATTTTGAATATTCATGACTGTCCCATAAAGAACATTTTGCTAATTTGGAGAAAAGCAGAAAAATCTTGTCTATAAGGGGAATACTTTAAAAGCATAACAAAATAATAAATGTTTTAAGCATATATAATTAAGCAAGGTCAATGGACAGACTCACAGTCAAATAAATAGCAAAAAAAAAAAAATCTCTGAGGTTGGCTTTGCACTTTGCTCCTGAAATTGCAGTGAGCTACAGGAAACTTATGTGGCCTGTTTTGTATAAAGTCAGAATCAGAAGGACATTGTCAGGTCATATCAGAATTGCTATTGAGGGAGTAATTGGGAGATCCCATTTATTATTTGGATTCTATACACTCCCTCAGAACTGATTCACACTAATATTTCTAAAATTAGATGGCTTCCTTTCTCCAGCATTGTGATACTAAGAGACCTCAAAATATCACAAATGGAAAGTATTAGCAATGAAGCACATTTTAAGACTTAGTAGTACAGACATAGTGTCGTCACCATCATCATCATCATCATCATCATCATCATCATCATCATCATCACTGTTTCTCTACCTATAATCAGAGCATTCTGGGAAGATTAAAAGGAAGTGAACCTTTTTGAGCCAAAGAACACATTTGGAATTTTGAGAGCATATTACGGAGGCTCTCCTAAAATGGCTGTGTTGGATGGTATGATCAGTTACAAAACACCCATTTATTAAAAAGGCAAACTGGTGAGATTTCTTCCAGTTATGTAGTCTACTCTAGGGAGTTCCTTTAACTTGCTGGTCTGGAGGGTGGGGGGCAGGGAAGGGCAATGGATATACTTTTGACGTACTAGGCTATTGACATCCACCTTTTTTATTTTCTAAGAATATCTGTTGAATGCAGAGGTGTTCCTGAAAAAAATGCCGATGCTAAATGCTAGCACTTCGTTTTGAAGCAACTTTAGAACAATCATTAAAAAGTGACAGTGGATCATGGAACCTGATGGGTATCGGAGGACACGGTGATGCCTATAGGCTCCATACTGCCTATCTCTACTATAATGTTTTGAACAGCCTGGTATTCCAGATATGTTTGGGCTATGGCTATCAGAATTCTCAATCAGAAAGCTTGGAGTAATTAATGACACCATATGCATATTATCAATATACGTATTGATGGAGGAAAGTGAACATATGCTAAGTTTTATCTAAGAATGAAAATGGGAGGTAGTTTAAGGGTCCTGATATTTCTAAAAACTACTTACGTCTCTCTGTAACTTCAGTTCCATCCCGCTTATTTTTCTTTGTTATGGCATCCATATCATTGCTACTCACATGTGAAAAGAAAAAGGAAAAATTAACACACATCTGATAGTCCAGTTGCAAGTACAGGCATAGCCTCTTTGTGCTAAGTCAAGGAAATGCAATTCACATGTTTCCACAATGACTAACCACTTCATAGGGAGTTTTTTAATGAGAACACATGGCAGCTTGTGAAATGAGATGCAACTTAATCATGTTATTGGGGGAAGGGGGTTAATATAAGCTTATTTCCGACATAATGGAATATATACTGTAAATGTTCACAGATGCTGTTCCTTTCCACTAAAACACTCCAAAACAAGCTGTCCTAAGACAACCTGACTAGAGAGCTTGTGTTTTCAAACTCCCAAACTGGCAATTATTCCAGCGAAGTTCCAAGGCCAGGATTTTTGGAGGGGGTTTAGCAAGATAGACTGCATTCAAAAGAACCATAATTTGGTAAAAGGTGCAAAAGGTTTTGCTATAGTCCAGTGTGTTCCAAGGTTTGGCAATGTCCAGATGTGTGGACTTCAACTCACAGAATTCTCAGCAGAGGCTGCACTGTTGCGGAATTCTAGAAGTTAAAGTCCACACAACTGGAAGTTGCCAAGCTAGGCAAATGCTGCAACAGGGCCATCTAGTGCTCGTTCATGAATATTTAGCCAACTTTTTTTCTTTATTCGGTCTGTAGTGAATTCATAGCATTAAAAAAAGTTTGAATAAACTTTTGTATAATACATGATAAAGAGATTGGTTAATCATGAGTTTGCATGTGTATATGGTGATCAAAACCACAGATGTCTATAACAGTCTGTAAGATTGATCATGAATAATTTTCCTATTATGAAAATAGACAAATATTTAACAAATTACTTTTTAAACTCAGAAAAAGAGAGCAACCTGGGGGAGAGAGACAGATAACCCCCACTTCAGGAATTCTGGGGGGCTTTATATACTTTCCCTTCAGATACTACGTCTTTGTAGGGTTTTAGTTGCTTTTTTATATCTCAAGAAGCTCTTAAGCCTAATCCACCCAAATCATTTAAATCCTTAATCCATTCACGGTTCTTTCTAGCCAGTGGCTGGGCTTTCTTCCTCCAAATAAAGGATGCCTGAAGCATCTAAGCAAACCCACACCTTCTTCATCTTTGAGTCATATTCAAACTCATACTATGAGTTCACCTCAGACAAGCACTGACAGTGAAGGAAGATGCTTGAAAGATGTAAAAGAATAATAATAAAACCCTAGAGGCAAATCCAGCCCAGTCACTGGGGACGTTCTGAGCAATCAATTATAACCCAGCCACAATATTCTTGGTTGTCTTTTTAAGCCTTTTCTTCATGTGTCTTTCTTTGCTTGAGATTAGCTTTCAGGACTCTGATGAACAGTGAAGAGAGATTAGAGCAGCTTGCCCCAACTTGGTGTCTAACAATATTTATATAACATATGTATAATTTCCACCTAAGTTCCAGAGGGCAGCAAGTTGAGGAAGAAGCAATAGCATTTCTTGGTAAACAAACATCCTACACTTGATCTTAGCCAAAAGGCCAAGAACCTTTTCTTGGTGGGTATTACAATCCAAATTCTGCCTGACACATTAAGCATACAGACTTTAGGCTATTCACACATACAGTACTCAGTATAAGGGACCTCACAAGGCAAATGGGGATAATAAGGACCATAAATCTATAATTCCCTGGGCTCTTTGAAAAGATGGGATTAAAATGTGTTAGAAATAGATCTTAACTATAAAACAAAGATAGGCTAAGGATCATTATTTTCCAGTTTGTCTGAAAATCATGTTCTCTGCCCTAGAAATGGCAAAGTATACAGTATGTCTAGCAACGATTGGTCTTTGGCCACAGGAAAAACAATAGTCTCTTCTAAATAATCACTGAACTGTATTTTGGATGCGAGTTAACCCCCTTATTACTTCTTGGTATAAAGGGATTATAAAGACATGGTACAGACAGGAGGAGGAGGAGGAGGAGGAGGAGGAGGAGGAGGAGGAGAAGTTGTTAAAGAAGTTGTTGTTTGTCAATTTCTACTACAGTATAAGTTAGTTATTTAAGGTATTGTTTGCTTAGCAAATCTGTCTCTATCTCTACTGCCCTTTTCTAGCTCATGGACATCTCTAGCCACTGCTGCTCCACCAGTCCTAGACAACTTTATTATTTATTTATGTGATTTATATAGCCACCTATCTCACCCATTCTCAGTGCTGAAGTGACTCTTCAGCACTGCTGATACCATTGTTCAAATTTAACTTCACAACTAAGCCTTTCTCCTTTAGAAGCATATAGCTAAGACTAAAGCATGAGTTTGAAAAGATTTTTTGGGGGTGAGCTTCCTCTGGAGAGCAGAAGATTCTTATAATCCCTAGAAATGGGGTTTTGAATGGTGCATGTCAGTGCTGCTGAAATGAAAATGTTACTGGAGAATATTAGGTATTTTTCAAATGTGACACAAAGAAACACATTTGAGATTTTCCTTTTTTTGTGTTTCACTTCTGTTACACATGAATGTTCATAAAAAAACAATCCAGTGAGTAATCTAAAATCAAGACAGATGGGGAAAAAACATTTCTGTCCCTAGTTACAGAAGTTTTCAGACATTGGAGATTAAAAGCCAAACACTCCAGATCAGGAAGGCTATCCAGGCAGAATGAATCCTAGCTTTTAAGACATTAACTAGTGCTTAAGTTAAAGAAGATAATTTTTGCAAGACAGCCTCAAAGGCTCATGTCCAATCCTTCAGATACGCCCAGCTGAATCTCCTCAAGAGAGATAGACTGAGACTGTTATACTTATGCAGTTCAATTAAATGTATCAGGATTAATTATATTAAATTAGCTGACTTCCACTTATAACTAAATAGGAAAAGAACATTTGTGAGAGGATTCCAATTAAGTTATGGTACAAACCACAGACCAGGTGGCTGAATGCATTCTGCTGATATGTACATAATGTTGGTTTATTATATAAGATATATATTTCTAATATTAAACCTAACATATATAACTAATCTACTTATTTGTGCCTAAATATAAGTGACAATGTTATAGCTATAAGTGAAAAGTGACAACAATCTTACAAGTTTCCTTTTTACCCTGTGATTTCTAATTGTCCACATTATCCAGCAACAAGGCAGTCTTGCCACAATTCTTTCCCTAGCCCTTACCTTTAAGGACTGGGAATTCTGTCCCTTTTACCCAGGGCTTAATGTCCTTTTACTTTACAATTAGCCCTATATCATCCTCCACCTTCCAGCCCTTATACTTCAGTAAGTCCTGCTGAAGTTTGAATTAGCATTGTAATTGATCCCTTTTATTGAATTGCATTTCTGGTTCTGTCAGTAACTGTTGCCTACTCTCCTCTAGAGAACAATCACTCACATGGCCGTCAGGCAAATATGGTGCATGGAGAGAAACAATGCTCTGCATCCTCAGTTCCATAATGCATAATGGTCTCCTCTGATTGCCTCTTTGGTCATAACTGATGCATCAAGTTAGAAATCACAGACTATCCCTCCGCTCAACATATCCTTTAAAGTCAGCCTCTCTCAACCTGGCACCCTCTGGATGGGTTGGGAATGCAGTTCCCTGAATTCCCAGCCAAAAGCACATGATCTATCATGGATTCTGGAGGCTGCAGTCCCAAGACATCTAGTGGGAGCCAGGCTAGGGGAGGCTGATTGTTGTACCACCTTAAATCCTTTTTTTTTAAAATAGAGAGGTGATTTTTTTTTTTAGTCTTCTTCAGAAAATTTTACCCTCATGCAGCAAAAGCTTTTTGCATTTATCAGAACATATACAACATATGTTATTTTCATCTCTTTGCAGTAGATGAGGGAGCATGATCAAGGTCACAGGTCTTGAGGACAAGGAAATTATTGAATTATGAAGAACACTCTGTTTATATCTTTTAAAGATAATCCTCTTTTTAATAATGCTAAGAGTTCACTAGTCCAGGACTGGCTTCCTAGCTGCACAGGGAAAGGATACATTGCTCCTAGTCAGTGAAAATAATTAACCTGGTTTACAGACTTTTGAAAAGTTAACGCATAATCTCTTTGCTGCAAAGGAATTCTGAGTGTTTGTAGAGATGCAGACAGTGTGCACAGAAACAGAAAACATATCCATAATGCACACAGCCAGTATGCAATAAATACATGTTTGAAATTGATAAATATAAATTACTTTCTCAAGAAGTGATGCCATCTTTCCCTCCTTCCTTGAAATGCAGCTGACAATCTTTTTTTCCTGCATTCTAACAAGACACCTCTAGCCCTGGCTAAAACTGTAATCTTGTCTTCTTCCAAGAAGATAGCAAACCTTTGCATGCATCCCAAGAAGTAAACTGAACAAATTCAGCTCAGCTTATTTTTCAGGCAAATATTCCAGATTCCCCTGGCCCAGTTTGTTGCATTTCTCAGAGGCTTAAAATAACTTTTCCTTCAATACCTTGAAGTTTTCTTTTTTTTGCCCTGCAAAAATTAAACCAGCCCGATACTCATTCCTCTATTAATAGCTGCTAGACATTTCGGTTTTGAGTATTCAGGCAGGTCAGTTCCTGTTAGTTGTTTAAGACTTATTCCAAAGAATCAGAGGACGATATAATAGAAAGTGGATCTTTTCTGACTGCTCCCTTGCCTTGTATTGCTTACCTGAATTCTGGTGGTAATTGTTACTGTTTGCTTTGTACCCAGTATTCCAGATAACGTTCCACAAGACCACAAGTGTAACAGCACTGCTTCAGTGGTAAGTTGTTCCTGAGTGATCCTCAAAGAATGCTGAATTGGTCTTGTATTTAATCTATTTTCCCCACCCTTCCAATGGGTATGCTCTGTTTCCCAAAACTTTTCTCTTAAACAAGTCCTGACAAAGGTGTATCATACTTTCCTGCTTTACTCCACCCTATAAATTATCTAACACAGCAGGAGAGAAGAAAGGTTTTAAAAAATCTGCCTCCAGGAATCAAATTTAACTACAGGGAAGAAAAGCAGCAACCTACAAAGT